GTGTCCTGTCATCAGAATTAATTGGTTAATATATCTAGACTCAAATGTAATAGAAACACTCTTGCTTTCCTTCATAGTTGATTTTCATTTCACATTTATTGTGGCTCTATCAGTGTTATTGTCCCAGCTCAGTGCTAGTCTGTGTTGTGTGCATTTTAAACTCTTATATCCTGTGTTTTGACTTCTGACTTCTTTGTAATAAATCATTAGTTTTCCATCAAGCTTAGGGGACAAAATAGGCAGCTCAATGGCCATTTGACCACCATAATAGAAGTGAAATTGCAAGATATGTGTCATTCAGTGTATGCATGAGATAATTCTACTTATTTAATGGTGACGTTTGGATTGCATTGTTCTATCTTCTATAAACCGCAGTTTACCCTCTTATCTTTGATCTCTTTCTTTGGTTAATTCTTCTTTCCGGTCCCTTTTTTAGATGTTTGGCATTAATAACTCTAGCTTGTTCAATATGAAACTATTTGACTGAGGCTTTATGGTATAAAACATTTCCCTATGTCTATAATAATGTATATTTTGGATGTTTTGCAGTTTTAACTGATTTTAAAATTTTCTACAGGGCCATCAGGTGACTCCAATGATGTGGTTAGTATTTCTTCCATGGAAACCATTGCCTTGTGTGACAATGCGAAGCCTGGGGATACATTCATACATCTGTGTCTATGTGGATAATACTACATTTCATGCTGTCTTCCGTACACTCAGGAAAAACAAATCAAAGTTGCATACTAATGTCTAAAATAGAACAATAACGGCAGAAGAGAGCATCATTAATAAGATATGCATTTGATTAAGCTTCATGTGTGTAATTCACCTTGTATGTAATCTTTCTTAATTCATAACCTCAGTTTGTCAATAAGATATGTTTTTGTCTTCTGCTTAACCAGCAAATGTTCTGGGATGCTCAAACTGCCAAAAAGGGTTTAGCTAAGGGGTATGAGCAGCTAGCAATTTGGGTTTGAGATGCTGAAATGGGGTGTGAAAATTTGCAAACAGAACTTGAAAGTGATTCCGAATGGGAACTTTGTAAATAATTAGGGAAGAGGTTGCTGCTCAATGTAACTGGATTGATCTCCAGGGCTCTTGCTTGTGCGGGCAAAATCAACGTACCATGAATAATAAAAAATGGTGGGTTATACGTTCATTGAAGGGATCCTTTCATAAGTGGTAAAAACATTCTAACTTGTTCATGGCATTTTTGGTTTCCACTTTTCTCGTATTGTTAGCACTGCCAAACATAACAATTTCCTCGTACCGAAAAGAATAGGATGAAAATTACTCATTTTTTTATATGATTGTATCAAGTATCTTGATTTTACATTCCTTATTTGCGAACACCCTCCCATGGTGGAGAAGGGAATGCAGCTGAGCCAACCTATGTGCTAGCAAATTACAGTAACGCTTTACATGATGGAAACATGGAGAAAGAAAATGGATTTCTTAGCTCGAAGTTCCTCCACTAATCCTCCAAACGGAAGATAACAATCATCGTTGGGCACAGCTACTCGTATGACTTTAAGACAATCTGGTTTAATGATGACATTGCCGTGTCCAAATTCTCTGCCCACATGCCATGCGAAATCAATAGCCATAACCTCAGCTTGAAGAATCCTTGAAACCCACAAGTTCTTTGCGCAGCTCCTATAACTTTGCTGTCACAGTTCCTACTTCCTGAGGACAACTCCAGACCTGGCTTTGCCTTTGCCCTTGTGGTATTGCTGTATCAGTACTGATCTTAACAGTATCTCCAGGGGAGGTTGTCATGATACCATAGGTTGCACATTCATTCCTCGGTCTCTAATCCTGTGTCCTTCCTCCCCAATGCTTCTATATTCAGCAATGTACTCAAAGATCCATTTTATATTCTAATCTGGAACATTGATCTTTAGTTATTGTAAAATGTCATGAACTGCATATGCATACCTTTTATAGGCCGCCATACACTGGCTAGCGTATTCTCCAATGCTTCCAGATTGTATCACCTCCTTATCAGGAGCGTGCCGACCAGACACCACTTCGCCGCCCCCATCGGCTGATTGTTCTACTCGTCAGCATCGAGATCTAGCCCAACATCTTCCTCAGCCGTTAGTGATAGCTTGCATCCGAGAGCCATAGTGAGATCTCTAATGCTTGGTTCAGCCATCGATGCCGAGATTTACTTTGGTCGTCGACGAGAGTTTTGAGTGAAAATTGAAGGAACAAGGATTATTTGACTCCCAATACTAGGAGAAGAAAAAACACTCTCAGACCTAGAGAGAAAAAACCACGGTCCGCAATGTTAGTTAGGGTAAAATCTTCAATTCTGTAGCATTTTAATTTCTAGATTTGTCAGTAGATATCATTTTAATTTAACAATGAATATGTTTAATTTAATTTGGACACATTCTCTTCTCATAAATTTATTTTAAATTGCAAGTTACTTAGTTCAATTAGGATTTGTTAATTTTAAGTCATGGTAGTGTTTAAGTTCTTGGAATTGTCCAAGGCAGATTTTGTAACCCATTATGCAGGAAGGTATCCCTCCCTCTTGCAAATCGTCTGTAGGCGCAGATTTCAATTTTAATCCAACGTTCTTCCCGTCATTTGCAAGGAGGTCGACTGTGAGGAAGGAGAGGATCGTTGGAAAAGTCCTCCTTTCTTACTTTTAGCAAAGTAAGTAACACGTTTGCATTCAGATTTCACGCGTGTGAGGTCATTAGAGGATTTTTAAGGAAACAGGTACACAATAATGAAAGAGATATATTTTTAATTTTTAAGTCACTCAATTCTACGTGAAATTATATTAACCACAATTCTAATAATATGTTGTATGGTTATTGATTCGTGCTTCTTCTTCTTCTTTTTTCTTTTTTTTTTTTTTTCTGTATTGAGGATTCAAAATTGATGTAGGCGAAATTAAAAATAATAATCCTTTTTTGGCCATAAAAATGCTAATTTTTTATGAACATTTTTTTTTTTCCATAGCATAGCATAGCATATGTGTCCTTTTCAAAGTCCATAATTTCTTTGGCCTATCACGATTCATGCTGTCAGTAAATTACTGCAATATTATAAATATAATATTATATAAAATTATAAATTTATAATTACAATATAATATTAAATAAATAAATTTATATAATATTTTGAGTAAATTTTTAAATAAAAAATTTATAATATCATGTGAAATTATAATTATATTATTTTTGTAAAAAAATAATATATGAAAAAATGAAAAATCATATGGGGTAAAAACGGAAATTACCTTTGGGTGGCTTTTGGGCAATCGATTGATGATGGTTTGTGTTCAGATGATCAATTGTAGTGGAATGCAAGAAATTGTATCAGGGTTCCTGAATATTCATGCAATTAGAACTTTGAATTACAAAGAAAGGATTTTGGTTTCTTAAAGTTGGTTTAGTGTTCAGGAATAAAAGAAATCATATCCAAGGTCCCTTTTTTTTACCTATGCTAATCTGAAATTTGGATAAGGAAATCTTATTCTTGTTAAAACTAATTGAGACATCGACCTAATTGGAGCGAAGGTTATTTGGTGAATGGTATCATTATAATTCTTAATATGGTTTCGTTGCTAGCGTTCCTATATACTAGAGTTGATGGCTGGAAGAGAACTGGTAGATAACGCGCATGTTCTAGTTGCTGCACAATACTGGTGCTTGTTCTTTTTCCATTTCTGTTACTACCCGGATGGTGCCAGAGGCAATTCGGGTTTGTATCTTGTGAAGACAGCAATATTTCAGAAACATGGTTAATGGTGTTGAGGATGACATGTTCATGTTCATTCTAGAGCCTCCTGGGACAGTGGAGTTGTGAAAGCTAGTAATTATTTACGAGCATTAAGTCTAGATTCCAGTTTCTATATGAGTCATTTTTCCTTCGGTTCCATTATTGAACTTCTAGGGCTCTGTTGAGAATATTATTAATGTTCAAGATCTAGGGCACTAAGGGCAGTGGTTGCTTTTAATTTTTTTCTTTCATTGTTGTCTCTTTTGCATCCTTTTTGTACCTTTCTGGTGCTCTTCTTTGCCCCTCCGACCCCACCCCATATTTGTCAGTTGTGCACTCTTTCTGAAATTCATCTATCATAATGGATAATATTTAAAAATGGCCTGAAGGCCCTTAAAATTGTGCCACAGGCATGGCCTTCCATTCACAATGAGTGATGAGATCTTTTCTCTAGTGGATTTATTCCTGAGGTTTTCTGTTGCAGGTTTACCGTGGTCTTGATATCGGGTCTGCAAAGCCTCCCCGAGTGACAGAAAGGTACCTGATTGAGATATATTTACATGACTAGTGTTATTCATTAATTATGGGTACATGTTAGTCCACAGAAGAAGGAAGATCAATATCAAATCTGAAAATCTTTAGGAAACTTTGACGCACTTACAGTGGAAATATTGTTTGGCTTGATTAAAAATGTTAACAAATTTAAAAAACAGAGTAATTGAGTATCACAGGGGGCTTTTGCAGATTTAGGGTTCATTTAACTAACGTAACTTCTCAAGTGCTTCAATTTTTTGATATTATTTATGTTTTATAAATTTAAATTTTTTTCTTAAAAATTTATATTTTTAAATTTTTTTTAATTTTAAAAAAACTTTAAACAATAAAAAATCAAAAGTTTAAATTTAAATTTTTTATAAATTTCATTATTACTTACTTTTTTCTATTTTCAGAAACAACTTTTAAATTTTTTTTAATAAAAATTTAAACTTATCATTCATAAATAGTGCAAACAAAAAGAGCAAAAACTTCAACAAATTACACCAAACAGGTACTTAAATAGATCCATGTACTTTGAGGGCATAATTGTGCATGGTTGCTATTGTGAACTTATGTTGCACATATGCTAAAATTATTTATAAATCTCTTCTTTCATACATCTCATATGTCTTTGACCCCAATTAATGTTGAGGTCTCAAGCCACATGTATTATTTCTCTGAGTCAGCCTCTTTTTTTTTTTTTTTTTGGCAGTCAGCAGTTGGTAGTCTTTTTTTTTTATCCGAAGAAGCAAAGTATGCTGCAGAATAGGCCTTGGTTATAGTTTATACTAGCTCTTCTCTTATTTTTTTTTTTTCTCATTTCTTATCCTACTTAGGTGACTATAGCCTGTTGATTAGAAGCAATTGGTGGATTAGAAAGGCCTGATTGTTCTTGGTGCTAAAAAGAAGAATAGTGAGAAACAATTTATTGTGCTAATAAATTTTCGAGACCGAAACCGATATTATTACATACGCATGGCCCTCCATTCACAATAATTTTTGGTTATTATTGGTTCAAACCGAAATTGATATTTGACTAACCAAATTTTTGGTTTTAATTTTTAAAACCAAAACCAAAACAAAAATTAATGGACAAAATATTTTTAGTTTGGTTTCCTCAAACTCCGGTTATTATATATTTGGTTTCAATTTTAACAATAATTAACGGAAAAACACTGGGAGAGAAAAATAATTGTTAAGTGGTGTGGGTGGGATAAGATTTTTAAAATATATAAATATAAGAAAAATCAAAGTATTAAACTAGAGATTCTAAGAATAAATTGAAGGAGTATTTAATTTAAAATTTTATTATCCATTTTTTTATCCAAAAAAATATATCATCCATTGAACGATGTCTTTTTTGGTGTAAACAATTAAAATATATAAATAACTCATTAATTATTTTCATTTGCATTTTGTCTATTTTTATTTTGATAATATGATTTGAGGTGAAGATGTGGATTGTAAAGAAAAATTAATATGCTAATGATTTATATCTATAAGTTCACTTGTATTTTTTGTATTTCTTCTTATACCTCAAAGAGAGCATAACAGAAAGAATTATATATTACTTGCAGATTTAGATGAAGGAATTGAAGAAATTGGAGATTTATAGTAACCAAACTGGGTAAGCCAAAGCAAATCAGCAAGGAGTAGCAAATCTGCCGAATTGCAACCTGTTAATAATTAATAGTATATCATTAAAAGCGACTGTTTAAATTGATTCATACCTTTCCTGATCATTGTTATCTTACAAAGTAAATTGTTAAGGTCATAAAAAAATGTAAAATATTACATTTAAAATGATTAATTTTATTTAATTTAATTAATAAAAATGGTTAATAAATGTAATTATTAATTAATAATTAATGAAATAGATATTTATTAATTAATAAAAAATTAATAAATAGATTAATATTTTTAAATACTAATTATAAAAAGATTAAGAACTACTGACTTTTAACACTTCTAACAATATCAATAGCCACGGCCCATTCTCCAATAATTAAAAAAAAAACCCTAAATTTTTATTACACTATTTATTTAAAATAATGAATTATGTTCTATGAGTTTTTGTCTTTTTGTAAAACCTGCATAATGACCCGATGAAAATAAGAAAAGCAGGGCACAAAAACAGTACAGACAGGTATAAAATGTGTCATCGGATATTCAAAAAGGATATTTAGATAGATCACAAAGATTTCTATGACTGCTCAAAAAATATGCATATACATTGTGTCATTCCACGAATTCGGTAGTCTCGATAAGAAGCAATGAAAACACAATCAACAAAGTCTTTAGAGTCAAATCTCTGTTTTTTGTCAAGAGTTTTTCCCTTCTGTTCCCCATAAACAAATAAATGAACCATATTCTGACAATTTGTGTATTTGTTCAAAACTGTAATAGTTGATCTTTAGTTCTTGTAAGATGTTGCGAACTGTCTCCATGATGGGAAGACAAGATCCAATTCCCCAATATGATGCTTCTTGGATTGGATAGGTCTCATTGAACCAGTTCTCATTATTGCGTGGCTTCGATCCTTCCCCTTTGATGCATGCTGTGGTTGTAGTTTTGTCATTCCAGAAAAAGCACAGAACCAATCCCGCATAAGGAAGGAAGTTACATTTACCATTGGTAACATATATCAACAGAGACACTGATAACCATAAATAACATCATGTATATAATTGCATGTATTCAGTCAATAAATATGATCAACCAGGTGAAGGACTAAAATAATGATAACGAAAAGTAAAAAATGCAAAACACTTGCATACCTAAGAATGATGAAAGGGCAATATACATCAACTTTTGTCAATAAATCACCATATCATTTTCAATATCATTATCAACAATTAGGGTAAGTGGTAGCCAATCTACAAAACAAAAAATCACAAGGCAAGTTCTAGATTGTCATGGCATGAATGAAAGGCTAATTGACCATCAAAGGAAATAGAAACAGGCCACTAAGTGGATATCATGAGTAATCAACAAACTACAACATCAAATGCAAGTTACCTCTTGCTAAAGCCTCTTTTCTCCTATTCACTTCCTGTGCTGTATATCCCAAAAGAAACAAATGAGTGAAACTTGTGAAAGTCTACATCTTTCACAAGTTCAGTCTCCCTAATATACCTCCTGTTGTTGGTTAAGTTCAACTGCCATGGCCAATCTCCTTCTCTTTCCTCTTCTATTCCTAAGATAATTTGAACAGTGCAAATCAGAAAACCTTAATCACTACTCAATTTCATAAAACAAGTGGGAAGCGGCATGCAGGGAGATGGAATTAAGTAAATACACTAACCTTAAAACTGGGTCTGGGTCTAGTAACCGTGGCAAGAGAGATATCATGATTTGGATCATAACCATAGTTGAGAGCAACAGGATCCAAAGAGAGGTGAAAGCCATGAAGGGTTCAACAAATTCACAATCATTCATCAGTAATCAAAATCATATAAATTAGAAAAGAATTAGAGGATTAACATGGAAAGGATTAACATCTTCTACTTCATCAAAGGGGTTTATAACAGCTTGATAACTCTCTAGAATATCATCTTCTTCATAATTTGGGGATTTGGGATGTTTCTTAATAGAAAATAGCAACTAAAACATACCACAGATGTGTGTTGTGGACATAGAAGATTGATGCTCGATTCTAACCAATTTGCTTAGGTTTCTAATTTTACAAGTAGTTGTCACATTATATTCTTGAACAATCCCCAAAGT